CCCCCCCTTCACAGGCTATGCTCTGTTTCAGAGCACGATTAAAAACTGGTTCAGCTACGTTTGTTCAATGATTCTTGTAAGAAAGCCCTGTAGGCGAAGAGTTGGAAAATATGAAATTTAAGTATGAAATTTTGGATAAATACGAAAATGAAGGCCAGGTGATGTCCTGGCTAGTAGTGACGGGAATTTGGAAGGAAAGGTGATGCGAAGATGTTTGGAATATATGAACAGTTAGCGCTAAAAAGTGGGAGTTTTTGGAACTGACCAGTCCCCTCTCGGGATTAGCTATGCGATCAACCTCCATTCTGAATTGTTTTCGCCATTTCAATTATATAATTGTTCCCTGGTAAGTCTGTTTCCAAGAGTCGATCTCGAAAGGGCTGAAGGACCTAATTGACGCTGGCAACAGTCAATCCTAGATTTGACCCCGAACAGGACGTGATAGTTGGCGGGACTCGCCAGTACTCTTCTCGAGGCGTCGGAGGTCAGAGGGCTAATGCACTGGAAGACTATAAGTTAATCAGCGTTCATACTTCGCGACAACGCGCCTCGCGCGCTGCCATTGCAATGGCGATCAAATGGTATGGACGGGAACGTGCTTCCACGCCGGCCGCCAGTGTTTTGAGAGAGCATGGAACCTCCTCCTACCCTCCTAATCTTCTGTACTATTCAACCCACTATCGGCTGGCGCTCCAGAGCGAGTGATTAGTCCGGTGAGTAGGTGGGAAAGAAGGCCGCGGCTGCTGCTGGGAAACAAAAAACTGAGTGATATTTTCGTTTCATTGGTTTGTCGAGTTGTCGTCCATTTTTTTCCGTTTAGGTGACTCGTCATTCGCTTTACATTACGGTGATATGACCGACTCATCTTGTCTAATTAAACTCATCACAAAGATTCAGCCAACAGAAGTGTATCATCTTGCTGCACAATCTCACGTAAAGGTAATTACTAAGTGGTTTTCCAGGTTAAGATTTCCGCTCATCATATTTCGACATATAGGTATCGTTTGATCTGCCAGAATATACCGCTGAAGTGGACGCAGTTGGCACATTGAGATTACTTGATGCCATCCATGCCTGTGGTTTGACTGAAAAGGTATGGAGAGTGCACGTTTCTTTTTCATGTTTTCGTATGCTCTTAGGCCGGAACATCTTTAAGTTCGTTGGCAACCGCGGCTATATCCTTTTGGCTACTCAGGAGATTCCGCCGATTTGGGAGACTCGGCGGTACGAGAGGTTGCGAAACGCTGAAGAAATATGTATCGATCTGGCGACTGGGGAGAATGGGCGATCCGGCATCTCGGGCGACTCGGCGTTTCGAGCGTGTGAGCGCCAGAGCACTGGATGGATGTCGATCTGGCGCTGGCTCGCCGGATCGCTAGCAACCGGCGCCGATCGATACTCGTCTCATTCCTCCTGAAAACGTCGAGTCTCTCAAATAGCCGAATCGCTCATTCCCCAAGACGCCGGCTCATCGCTTCTGTCAGAACGTCGATTACCGCTCAATCTTTCAAAACGCCGGATCGCCGAGTCTCCATAATCGCTGGCTAGGCGCCAATCGATATCCATCTACTCCCTCCTGAAGCGCAGACTCACAAAACGCCAAATCGCCGATTCAAAACGCCGAAACGCTGAATCTCCATAATCGCTAGCGACCGACGGCAGTCAATCCCCATCCACTTCCCTAGCGCAGTCATCAGAAACGCCTTATCACAGATTCTCTCCAATCGCCTGATTGGTACCTAGCAGTACAAGCTGGTGAACAAATAGATATTTTGTCCTCGCATGCAGCCTGATGTCTGATAACCGATCTAGCAGTGGTGAGATTGTGGATAGGCGGGAGGTTCATTGACTTCGCATCTCCGGCGACAGCTGTATGGTAGGCGCCTGAACTTTGCAGGCCCTTCCGTCTAATGCTCATAATCCTGAAATACTCGTTGACTATACTGTGTTCCCTGAACATGAAGTTGTTCTAAATATTTTTGACCTCGATTAAGTCTTTTAAGTAGGGCAGGTGCAACTCTATGTTCATTTATACCTCCCCCTCTCCCCCCCCCCTTTCCCCACGTCCGTATTCAGTGTTTTGCGTCAGAAGACGCCGTTTGACATCTTGGGTGGCGTGGAACCTGACACCCACCCCGCATTGGACGCTTCTTCGCTTCTTCCCCTTTCTTAATTGTATTGATTCACCTTGTGTTTCGTGTGATTTGTACTTTGCCCTTTTCATGATTCGTAAAAACAACTTCAGGTTCGCTTCTACCAAGCATCAACTTCCGAGTTGTACGGGAAAGTTCAAGAAATTCCTCAGAAAGAGTATCAACGCCGTTCTACCCTCGTTCACCTTATGGTATAACGTTATTGGGCGCAGTTCGGCTTGGGGGGGGGGGGGGAGGCGCAGAGGGGGCATTTTGCATTTCTGCGTCTTTCCGTATATCGTCCGATGTTCTTCGCTTACAAGAGTTACAGGAATGCTCTTACAAAGAGTTGGACAAGTAGTTTTCACTGCCTTGACTAGTTTCTCTTCAGTGACTTTCAAAGATTTCATGGTCTTGTTGCCTCGACGCGACAATGGGGAAGCAGTGAATGTGCAACATGCACCCCAACTACCCTCCTCGAGCCGAACTGTTCCCATTATTGTCTCCCGTTAATATCGCAATCACAGGTAAACGGTTACTTTTTGAGCGGTCGCTAAGATGTATGCTTATTGGATCGTTTATCAACTACCTCCGAGAAGGCTTTCAACAAATGTTCGCTGTAATGGTATCTCTTTATCACGAGAGGCCCAGAAGAGGTTAGTTCCTTTCCAATGATGGATCTAGACGCGGGCGCGTTTCAGCCTTGCGGCATGACGTGCGTACGAGCGGGCACTACAGTTTGCTTCAACGCTCCAGTGCTATAAACGCGAACGCAACAGCAGACGGGAATCCATCTGCAGTGGGTGTTTGTGTATTGAGGGAGCATGGGGAAACAGGAGAGGGTAACGCGTTGGCCTAGTTGGGCTGGCTGTCGCACTGATTGTTAGAGTTTCGGCGAAAGTAGTGGAGAATGGCGATGAGCACCAGAATATGGTGAGAGCAGTACCTACCTCCCTGTTATCTCAAAACACCGGCGCCAACGATTTCCGTCTGCGGATACGTTCGCGTCTGTAGCATCGAGTGCTGTTGCAATTGTAGCGCCTCTACGCAAGTCATCGCGAAGCGTGAGCGCTGTCAAAGTGTAGGTGAGAACTTTTTCAGACTTCCAGTTGACAGCGGATTTGTAGTGTGGCATGCTTAGGGATGGTTTGTTTTCTTGAGTTAGACCTTCATTTGAATTTCACGTGAAAGCAACGCACTGTTCATATCTTTTGACGCTCCAAAGTCAGAGAATTGGGGATCAGTTGAATCGGGATAATCAGAGAATCCGCGAAAAGGAATGTATGTTTCCGATCTGGGAAGTTTGGAACGTGCGCGCAAAAGGTTAGATATCTATCGGTCGACTCCGCCCAAGTGGAAAATCGAAAATCATTCAGTTAGATCGATTTACTTGTCTTCCTTTTCGGGCTTCTCCATTCTACCCATTCTACCGAATTTCCAATTTTTCGACTCCCCAAGGTCGCAAGGTAAAGGCGTCTGAAGAGCTTCTTGAGCCTTTTCGTGATGAATCGCCGTAGGTGGTCTTATTTTTGTCAGTGCTTCCACTGCTGTCACACCAATAACCTCCATGCTCTGCACCTGCACTATTAATCGACTTGCCCACGAACCGCCAGCACAATTAACTCGTTAGGAAAAATCCACATAACAGAGCTGTTTTATGCCAAGCAATTTTCTCTGTCAACATTCATCGATATGTGATCGTTTCAGGTGAAACATTCGTCACTCGCAAAATCACACGGTCAGTTGCCAAGATCAGTTTGGGTCAGCAAACTTGTGTTGAGCTTGGAAATCTTGACTCCCTTCGTGATTGGGGACACGCCAAAGAATATGTTGAGGTGCGCTGACCTCGATATCCTTTCCATTGGTGATATAGGCAGTTTTGGGCTTTTCTAGTGATTAATTCACAACAACTTGCAGGCAATGTGGAGAATTCTTCAGCACGACAAGCCTGAAGATTTCGTCATTGCTACAGGAAAGCAAACTACAGTGAGAGAGTTCTGTAATTTAGCGTTCAAGGAAATTGGAATGGAATTAACGTTCGTTTCTTATGCTCGTTTTTTGTTCTACATTTGTATGCAAAAGACTTTGTTGATACTGGGTACGAAAGTCTAGGTATCAGTCTAGTTTAACAAAAACCTCTACACTCACCTCCGCGGATTCCGGTCCCTGCCATGCACGAGGCGAAGGGGTACGCAGCTCCGGTTAGGTACCACCTTTTCCGGTCAAAAGTGCTGGGGCTGTAGAGCTCTGGTACCCACGTGCCGTCCCATACTCTGTCCGCATTTCCCCTCTGCCAGCACTACCTCTAAGCATAGCCAAACGCGCTACTCATCTGCGCCCTCTTCATCCTGGTTGTTCCCTATCGCTAAGTGCTGTTTCGCTGCGAGATCTTGGTATCGACCCAAGTGCTGCACTTAAAGGCAGTTCCCGCGACTGCACATCATAGGGCATACAGTTCAAAAATTGGGTTGCCGTGTGGTTGTTGACTTAAAGAAGAAGAAAGCACGAAAAAGCGCCCGCAATAAGACCCTCTTTATTTCAATTGATCATGATCACCGGACGAGCGTAAGGTGGTCAAGATCAATTGTGAATTGCAAAAGGCGACGATACACTGAGAAGAGAGGAGAGAGACCAGAAAACGGCGGGCGAGAGAGCACAATGGCATCGTCACGATGACACGGGCGACGTAGGCCGGCATGGGCCTATTGGGCGCCCATGGGCCTAAAACCTGCCGCCCTGCATTTTTCTTGCCAGTTTTCACCATTTCGCTGTAGTACAGCCTCTGCGGTTGCCTGGGTCATAATGAACTTTCAAGACATTCTAGCCTTAGTTTGCCACGGACCGTGCCTTTAAGGATAGCGCGAACAGAGTCGGGAGACGGCAGCCAGGTACCACAACCTTACGATCCCGCTGCCGTGCACTCTTGAGCAGAGAAACTGGCAAGCTTTGTCAGGTGTTAAAAATGCTCATTTTTGTTGTCTGGGCTCTCTGTTAATATGTCAAAAAAAGTTACTGGAATTGAACCTGTACAAATGCTGAAACACTGAATAAATTATCTTGAGACTCATGAGATTCTCTATCCCATCATCTAGAATTCGAAGTGTTGAAGTTGTGCTAGAATATAATGTTTCTATTGAACACTTGCTAGAATTTCAACTTGTTTCTGATTTTGTTGTATTGTTTAGCCATGGCATAGTAATTTTAGCATGGAATTTTCCAGGTGGGAAGGCGAAGGCGTCAATGAAGTTGGAAAGGAAAAAGGAACTGGTATTGTGCGTGTGAAAGTCAACCCAAAGGTATTTATAATATTTTCGAGCGCTGTTCGGCTTCGGTAGGGGCAGCAACTGGTAATCGGCGGACTCTGCACAGGTCACTTTGTGAAAAACCTGTGAATTCTTTGTAACTAAAGTTGCTCATTTGTCCCATTTCCCAGCTTTACATGAGTTCACGAGTCTCGAACTAGCGAAAGTGCAAAAAGTCTCACCTAAGCCGAACAGCGCCTATTTTTGTGATGTAAGGGACTGATTGGACTTTTCTAATCTGAGTTTGTGCTACGTTTTCAGTACTATCGTCCTACAGAAGTAGAAACGTTACTTGGTGACGCTACGAAAGCAAAGAAAGTCCTTGGATGGGAGGCTAAGATCTCCGTGGAGGTAACTGCTGTGAAATTCACATATTTCTACTTCTCAATACAGC